TATGTGGTCGTCCGGAGTGGGTTCCGCGGGCATCGAGGTCACGGTGCAAATGTGGTCTGATGACGCGCTGGGGTGACTTGTCCAGGTCGGAGCCGTGAGCCGCACCAACTTCTCGGGGTCGGGCTCGTCGGGCTACTACGACGGGCGGTACTGGACCATGTGGAAGTTGCCCATGTTCGGGTGCACCGACTCTTCGCAGGTGCTGCGGGAGATCCAGGAGTGCAAGACGTCGTACCCTAGCTGCTGGGTCCGCGTGCTGGGCTTCGACAGCAAGAAGCAGGTGCAGATCTGCGGGTTCTTGGTCGCCAGGCCCAACTAGGGAACGAATTTGTCGAGCTCTCTGGTTCTGGGTCGGGTAGCAGTAGCTTTGATGGTGAGGCACTGACAGTCAGTCGCTCACACGGCAAAGTAGCCTGGATGTGCTTCGCAACGAACTCTTGTATTTGAGTATGTGAGTTCACTTTGAACATCCCAGAAGCAAAAGAATGGGTTTTTTCATGTTTGAAGTTTATTTTGTATAGTTGTGTTGAGCCGCGACTTCTATCTGTCACTTGGCTTGATATTCTGAGTTTCTCCGATACGAATAGCGAAGTCCACTTGAACATCTGTAACGGCAGCAATTGCGTCAGGTCAATCCTCTCAGATTCTTTCGGCGCTTTTGTCGTAATCTAGCTTGATTGTTGCCCATTAAGCTTGGTTGCTTTTCGTGAGAAAGCATGAAACTTCTATGACGAAACCCGGTTGATTGTAATGTAACTAGTTTGATTGTAGTTTGAATTTGGTAATTGCGTTGTATGATACATAATGAAAGTTTCATGATGAGGGCTCTTTGTTGGTAGTTATTTTCATTTTAATAGACGAGTATTTTTGTGAAAGTCACCAAGAGTCCTCGACTTTCTGTAAAACCGCAGTGGTGAATTGAGAGAAGTAACCAGTACCAGTTATTACGAGAAGAAGGTTGAGTCTTCGCACTGCAACACATTTCTTTGTGTCTGTCAATGTCAATAGTTTTTACATGGCGATTGCCAATAAGTCTGTCGACACAGGTCATTGTACCACCTGAGCAAGGAAAAGGCACGACGTACTGGTATAGTTCCCTTATGGAACTTGTCAATGTGTTCAAACCCATAAGTTGCTGAAAGTGTACAGTCAGGTGATTTGCACACTTTTCAGAGGTAGACCGAACAAAATAAAACTTATGGAATGACATACTTGAAAAGCTTTTTCTGAAAATCTGTCAAATAACAAATGTTTGATATTCTTAATATTCGGAATGTCAAGTCACACATATTTGTTACTGATTCCTGCACAAGGATTAACAATCACAGCATAAGCAAACATGTATTTTAAATCAAATGACTTTATAATATAAATCGAATCGATTAGATAAGCATGATTTTAAGAGTTATACTCACCTAGAGAAATTTCTTACATCAGAAGATAAAAGAGATAATGTGCCCAGGAAGGCATGAGACATGAAGTAATAGAAACACATATTCCACTGTGAAATGTGAAAGGGAGTGGCTGAATGAAAGAAAATAGAAGAAAAGAAAAAGGAAAAAAAGATACCAGAAATCTTTTTCAAAATTACCAAAAATGTATTAGAAAGGTACTTTGAAAGGAAAAATTTACTTACAAAATAGAAGTCCAACATCTTTTAAATGTAATAAAATCACCCCTTGTAAAATAATAATACAATACAATAGATTTTCAAAGCTTTCTTATTTGTTTAGTAACAGATTTGAACCTTTCTTAGTGTAGCTACTTCTATGTTTTAATTTAGTAGAAATATTAGACTTCTTTGTTATTACTAGATTGGAAGTAGAAAAAGTACAAATTAACATGTATTATAAAATATTAATTTCCAATCTCCCCCAAACAAATTAAGAATATTATAAAGCAATAAAAATTCAAACAACATCAATTTAAAACCAAAAAAAACATTAAAAAGCCATCTTATAGAGTATTATGTGACTTACAATAAATGCACTAATGATAACATTAATCATTTAGCCCAACTATGTCAAAAGGTATTATGACAACATTCAATTAAGGAAGGTGTTTTTTTAATGGATTTACATATCACATAAAAATAACTTCGATAAAATATTTTGATTTGTAAATTATTAAACTTAGTTTGATTGCTAAAAAAACACTCCAACTCTTTACGTCCATTAAGTATAAAAAAGAATACAATACAAAATATCTTACTTATATTTAAACAAAATACCAATACATCTAATAACTGTTGTTAAGTTATTTAATAAATTATTATCAAATCCCTACCTCAAGGATAAAAATTCCTTAAGAGATCTTTTAATATCATAAATAATATTATTTAATACATAATTGTAATTTGTAGAAACAATGATATTTATGCACCTTCAATACTATTAGACATCAATACAAAGTTAGTGGTGCAATCTTTGACCACTTTTGTACATGTTCACTAAGCACTATTTAACTTGAGCTTGAAAAAGAAGGATATGTTACTTTGATTCTTTTCTTTTAACTTGTAAAGATGGTTCTTGTAAATCTTGCAACTATAGAAGTGACTATTCACAGGCTTAGGTATGCATCAATCATTGCAACTCCAACTCAAGCTCCAATAGCAAGAAATTGTCTTTGTGTATCATGCTTTTATTTTCTATCATAACCTATAAAAAACTATTCATTTTTTCAAATATTTTTGTAGGAAAAAAATACAACTCAATAACATATAAAACAAAAAGAATAATAGCAAAATATCAAAGCAAAAACGTTGCAATGTATTAATATTTGATTACAACATAGTCCAATAGCAAAGATATTATTGCATAGCAACAACATATTTTAGCAATACATTACAACAACAAAAGCATTTGAATGCAACATCATAATATTCCAACAATCCATCACAAAGATAATATCCTTGCATTGTAGTAATATCTCATCATAGCAATACATTGAAGCAATAAAGCATTGTAGCACAATAGCAACATAGCACAATAACAAAAACATTGTAGTACAACAATACTTTATTGCAATAATATAAATATTTTAATACAATAATAATTTATTACAATAATACTTTATTGCAATAGTATAAATATTATAGTATAGTAATAATTTATTACTAAAATACCTTATTGATAAAACCACTCTCAAATGTCTTGTTTGTTAAATGAAAGAACAACTTGTCTTCTAAGTATTCAATAGCTGCCTACAAGAATAATCCAATTTTTTTGTTTCCAAGAGCTGCCTCTCTTGCATTGGCAATTATCCAAATTTAGTCTCAAATTCCATGATTAGTTCATTTGGAGCCATTTGATTTCTTGGCCTTTATTCAATCTACTCCAAAAAGATTTTTTTTTTCATTCTTTTGAAATCTTCCTCAAAAAATTCATCTTTCAAGAGTTCTTCAAATTTCTTCCCTCACATAGCCTTAGTATGCAACTCCTACATCTTTTTTCTAATTTTTGGTATCATTGCCAAATCAAAGATGGTAATCATCTTCAATTCTAAAACTTGATGCACATATGCACATATATGTGTAAATCCTTAGGAACTTAGTGATGTCACTCTCATCAAACCTTCCAATCTTATCCATCACTACTTGTAAAGCTTAGGTGGTGTTTCTATCCTTTCAATGCACTTATTGCCTCTCTTTTATAAATTGAGCAAATACCTTGAATAAATCATGGGCACCTATTCTACTTCGTAAAGAAAACCTTGGGATTTGATTTTCCATCTTGACTTGTTGAAAAATTTGGTGCCTTGAGGCTCTTTCAATGGAAGCACCAATAAAGTTTGGGTAGAGAGAATTTATGTCAAAAAAGCGTTGGGCTTTTGGCTATCACTAATTACTCAATCAAGTCTCGAGATAGAAAAGCATCAAGTTATCTTTCTATATATATATATATATATATATATATGTAAAAAAGTGAGGCCAACACACTATCGTTTGTCATCGATGGGGGAAGCCTGCGCATACTTCCCGTATCTATAGGGCTCCGAAACCCATACCTTTTCAACCCAACAACACAAGTCAGAATTTGGGAGGTTTCTTCAACATACCGCAGCATCATCAACACGGCACAGGCTCCTCATCACAACTCGGAGTCAACATTACAGAAGAGGATTCGAGTGAGCTCATTTCAACCAAACTATCCAATGATGAAGAGATTCTAAAAGCGTTAGAAATACTCTCAGTAAGTCAACCGAATCATGACTGGATATTAGACTTCGGCGCATGCTAACATTTTTCTGGGAATTATTTTTCATTTTGCGAAGTAGATCACTTGATCGGAACAACGGTTACATCCGCGGGTGGACACTCGCATATAATCGCGGGACAAGGGCCCGTTGATCTTTCTTTACCCAACAGTGAAATAAAAACGTTGAAAGATGTTCGTTATGTTCTGCGCTTACATCGAAATATTTTATCGATGGGACAAATCACAGATTTGGGAAACTAATGCATCTTTAATCCGACCAAAAGTAATGTTATCTCGATTCAAAAACCGCACTGTATAATTGCTAGAGGATCTTGGAACCACTCAAATGGTCTTTATAAACTAGAGTATTTAAAATCAGATCTCAACGCCGACTCAACATGTTATGATTATACTGAAACAGCACACACTAAAACCAACACTTGCTCCACAGTAGACCGCCCATCTCTTGAACTCCTTAGCATAAATCGACACTCGGAAGCACAAACTGCTCTCTGGCACAAGCGCATGGGCCAGATTAATTTTCAAAGCCTATCTACACTCACATCAAACCGATTGGCAACAGGGATTCCCGCCTTCTCAGTACGCACCCAGACCTGCCCTACTTGCTATGAAGGAAAACAAACACGGCAGAACTGCCGCGAGTCTCCGCCATAAGAACAAAAATTTCTCTTGCTCTAATCCACACCGACGTTTTTGGGCCGCTCCTGGTAAAATCTCTCGGGCATTTAAGATATTTTGTACTTTTCACTGATGATTATAGTCAATACACATGGATATATTTCATGACAACAAAGGACCAAACTCTGCATTTTTTTCAGAAATTTCATAAAATGATCGAGGAACAAACACCATTTCGAATTCTATGCATTAGATCCGACCTCGGAGGGGAGTTTCTATTGGCCGATTTCACTAGCTACTTACACCAGCACGGTATCATTTGACAATTAACAGTAGCACGGACACCCAAATAGAATTTGAAATCCGAAAGAAAGAACCGCACTGTCATGATCAAAGTTAGAGCCATGCTTCTCGGCGACAAGGTTTTGTACTCCCTCTGGGCAGAAGCCGCTCACACCGCGGTCCAACTAATCAACTATAGTCCGACAACGTCGAACAACAATCGCACCCCCCACGAACTATTCACAAGTAACACACCCGATCTCAGTCCACTCAAGGTCTTTGGCTGTTTGTGCTTTGTAGGCCGCGATCACACACAGCGAAACAAGCTGGAGTCGCGCTCCAACCTCGGCATCTACTTCGGACTGGACAATGAGTCGAAGGCTTACAGAGTTTATCTCCTCGCATACAAGAAAATATAAATTACAAAGGACGTCTCATTTGATGAAACCAGTTTTCCAAACTCACATGATCCCGAGGCCGCACTCACTAACCAAAGCTTGCAAATGGAAACTGCCTTCCCTTGCCACTCCATCCATTCTGACAACTCCAGCGATGACGGTTCTGAAGATTCAATCACAAATCTGCTGGTTTCGACTCCAATGCCGCTGTCGACTACCCCTGTCAATCAGCAAATCAATCAGGCAATGAATTCACCACCTCTTCATTCCAAAACAAGAAACACTACCCCAGGTACAAAATCATTCACAGAACCCTCTCCTGAACCGATGCTGAATCGGCATACACCCTATCTACTTGACCTCAATACTATCGACGCATGGCCAACAAGCGAAGCACTAAATGAATTCTCATCATTTGATGATAATAGCCTAGATGAGCACGAGTCTGAAAACTCTCGTGGTATGAAGAGACAAGGGCTATCTGAAATGCCTTCCAACACCCGACGTCATACAAAGCGCCCTGCATGGCTTCAGGATTATTTTTGCAACTTTCTTGACCTAGCTACTGAACCGAAAACATTCCAAGAAGCAGCTCAAGATGAAGGTTGGAGGCAATCTATGATTGAAGAAATCAAATCTATTTATGCAAACAATGCATAGTCACTCACAAGGCTTCCTCTTGGGCACCAAGCTATCTCAACAAAATGGGTGTTCAAGGCAAAAATGAAACCTGATGGTACCTTACACAATAAAAAATCACAATTAGTAGTTCGAGGATTTGAACAACAAGGTGTTGATTATGAAGAGATATTTGCTCCAATAGTCAAATGGGGTACTATACGAATGCTTTTGGCCCTCTCTGCAAAAAATCAATGGCAACTTTACCACATGGATGTGAAGACGGCATTTCTCCATGGTGACCTCAAAGAAGAAGTCTACATCACACAACCTCAAGGATTTGTAATTGAAGGACAAGAATATCTAGTATGTAAACTTCACAAGGTCCTCTATGGTTTACGTCAAGCACCCAAAACCTGGCATGATAAAATTGACTCATTTCTTTGCAACCAAGGCTTCACTAAAGGAGAAGAGGACTACAATCTCTGTATGATCAATCACCAAGAAAAAATCCTTCTCTTAGTCCTTTATATAGATGATCTCTTATTCACAAGGAACTGCATCGAATGCATCACATGATTCAAATTACAATTTGAACCAAAATTTGAATATCAGAACTAGGTGAAAATAATATGACACTATACCTCAAGGCTGAAATAATCAAAGTCCCCAAAGGGCTATTCATGACACAACAAAGCTATGCCCTGCAAGTAATTCGTCATTTTGGCCATGAAGAATGCCAATCAATTTCCACCCCCTTGGTGGAATGGGTAAAACTCACACTTGACATGAATGCAGAAAATGTCGATCCAATGTATTATCGATCCATAGTTGGCAATACAATTAGGACATTCCAGACTAGATGTTTCATACTCAGTTGGAATTGTCAGTCGATTTATAATGAAACCACAAGTACCATATCTAAGAGCAGCCAAAAGAATCTTGAGATACATCACGAGAACATTAGACTATGGAATTCTCCACAACAAAAATTCAACAACAACACTATCAAAGTTTGTGGACACTAACTGGGCAGGTGACTTATCTGATGGTCAATCAACAATAGGTTTTGTATTCAAAATGGGAACAAGTCCAATCACCTGGCTATCAAAGAAACAAGCCAACGTTACTCTCTCCTCATTAGAAGCAGAATACATGGATTTATCTATTGCATCCAAATAATCAGCTTGGCTAGACAAACTCTCAAGAGACTTTGCCCTGAAAATTACAAAACCGATAACAATCTTTTGTGACAATGAAGGGAGCATTAAAATGGCAACAAATCTAGGTATCAATCCACGTACCAAACACATACGAACACATCACCATTTCACAAGGGAGAGAATTGAAACAGGAGAAATCAACTTGATATATGTGCCTTCTCTAGATCAAGTAGCCGACATCTTCACAAAACCACTGGGAGGAGGTCTATTCGACAAATTCAGATCAAGGTTAAATATTTCCATGGAAGAAGCACAATCCTGAAGACTGAAGACAACTACCTAATTTCACCTCATCTCCTCTAGCTGTTGCTCGTATCGGTAAGCCTCTACTAATAAATCCCATTCTATAGCAGTAGTAATAGCATACATATTCTCATCATGTTCAATTTCTACAAAATCCTTCCTATCCTCAGTCAACCATTTCTTCCAAGCTCGCGACACCATCCTCAAAGCATGAAGTAAACAAAATAGGGCATTATTAGTCTTAGAATCATAGCTTAGCTTTGGAATTATCAATTGTAAAAGATCTTCCAACAATCCACACAGGAAGAAAGCAACAACTCTGACCTCATCAATCGTCTTCCGAAGTATGGCTCCTTCAAATACAAACTCACTGACAACATAATGAATCTCAAGCTCGATCTAATCTTTCAAAGAATCCACAATCACTTGCCTTGATGAAGAATCTTCAACTGACTGATCAGCTTTCGACCGAGGAATCCTCAAACCAGAAGATGCCAAAACTCGATTCAAATCCTCAATCAGTGCACAACTCCCCTATGACAAGCATACCCAATCATCCCGACTCTCGATTTCCTCAAAATTCTGAACAAAATTTGCCGAAGAATGATGCCCTCAAATCGCAACATCATCTGTAAAGTCACATTCGCGACCTCAGCTGAATCATTCCTGAGAGTCATTCTCAGGACACCACTCATCTTGACTACCCAAGTTGGAAACTCTGGGACTTAAATCTTCACTTAGCTTCCTTTTCCTCCTCATGACGATCCTGGTCACACCCTTGGGCTATAGAGACAAGGACAGACAAGATCAACCAAGACAAGACTTCACAGGAAGAAAAACCAGAAGGTCGTGGAGAGGCACTCGTAAGCAAAAGAGGCAGCACTATCACAGCAAATTTGATAATCTCCATGAAATTCACTAAAGTTGTGTGGTCACTTGTCAGGAAGCAATCGAACCAACTCAGAAACATGAAATTAGGGATCTCAGGAAAATAACAATTCCTTGTCAATAGTTCGTAGATGATTGTGTTGGAACTTCATCCCTCCTCATCATCCAACCTAGATGTTTACTGTAGAAGATGAACTTAGATCCTGGGTAAATGCTAAAATACCAGCAAGAACAGTTCTTACTCAAGCCGGTTATTCCACAGGCTTAGCGTAGGCAAGTCTATCTTATTTTCTTTTATCTTTGTTTGATTCCTTCGCACACCCATCTGAATAAATGCAGACTCTATAATCGGCACGATTTTGAGCAAACCTGCGTGAATAAATGTCCTAATCCTACGGGATTTAGGCTTCAAATTTGTTGTGGGTAACATCTTGGGACCTTAGACGACTAATCTAGGTCCAAGTAATTTCCGTGTGGATTCTGAGGGGTTATAAATGTCCTAAACAAGTTGAAGGTGTTCATGTCAGCAAATCAGAACTTCTACGTGTGGTTACGTTCTGAATTCTGTTCGCTAGTCCAGAGATATTCTCTCCTCAACATGAATACATCGCAGAGTATTCTAATGAGAGAAGTGCTGTACTGCATATGATCAGCAGCATGCTGCTTGTTGCGCATTTATGTAGTTGCTTTTGATCCTGGTTGATTGCTGCTTGACGCACGCAATAATATTAACTGACAATTGATAATCAGGTTCTTCACTGAGTGAGGAACCTGTCTCGGAAGGACAATTCAACAAAAGTAGAGGCACTTGATGAAGTGCTGGAAAAAAGTAACGATTTCTGCGCACATGATACATTCAAATGGTGCACAGGTCGTTCTGACTCCAGACCTCATCATCATGACGAAGGACTTGGCACCAAACTGAAAACAGAAAACCCAAGCATAATAATCTAAAAACAAAGTAGCATTTTTCAAGTCAGGGATTGCTCAATGAATATTCAGACTGCATACCTTAAGCAGTCAACTTTTCTTCCATCAAAATGTAAAGTATTCAGAAACATTTATAAAGCACACAGCCGAGGGTACTAAGGTTGTGATACCCTGAGACCATCATTGTGAATGCTCACCACCTTGGAATACAACAGAGTCGTTACCTGCACACACGCATGACGTCTGTTGTCCAACTCTAATTTTATGCGACCCACCAACTGTCGAAGAACAATGTAATACATGTTCTCCCCCCAAACCAAAAGTCTGTACATATTGACTTTGAACTCATGCTGACCTACGATCCTATGTACTGAGCTTCTAAACAGCTCAAAGCTAACTCGACCTTAAATCACGATTCCCTACTAGTGAAGTTAATCCATTTAATTTGGGGTTTGCAACTCCACTCTAATCGTTGTAATGACTAATTCCTCGCCATATAAACGGTATTCCGAACTGTAAACCTCAGTTTTCCGCTGCGCAGATACTAATGTTCAACAATTCTCAATCCAAAACTCAACTATTCCACAACTGCCTCAGGCTGGGTCTCAATCCAGTTCCACACCTTCACCTCACCCCGGCTATCTCCTGAGAACAAAAGAGAACTCGGCCCTACTTGAAGGGCACGCACTTCTTCTCTTGAAAAAAGTTGTCCACGTTCTGTGAAACTGCAAAAGCGTACACTTAACAATTAAATCCACTGGAGAAACAATAATTTGGAAAGCCAAATAACAAGAAAACAATATTCCTAAGCCTTGCAAGGAGACTCACTTAGCATATGCTAATGAAACATAACCCTGATCCACAGGACCCCTCGAACAGGACAAACCATAAAAGAAAGGCATATATTCAGCTATCCAGTGAGAAGAAGATAAATCAACACAGTTTAGTTTCCTACAGACAGAGACTTACGTCGGTAGATCATACAACCGGACAGTATTGTCATTATAAGAACAGAGTAGCACTGGTTTTCCAGCTTTGTCGGTGCACCCACACATCTTTAAAGCTCCTGCCAAAGTGATCTGCAAATACAAGGTGTCAAACCACACTCGTAAGTTGAGAGGTTTAATGCAATTCAGGGAAAGAGTGCATAGGACCGGGATGAAAACAATAACATCCGAAACAATTTAGCACAAGGAAACAGAGAGTAGACACTAACGTTGCGAGAATCTGGTTGATTTTCTTCCTCAGGATGTGAGAAGGTCAATTCAAGTTGGCCAGCTGTATTTACAGCCCAAATCTGCAAAGGAAAGAGCGGAAAACCCCTCAATAAATAAAGCCAAAAGGCATTGACAGACGATTGGAAGATACGCCATCTTAGCACCAGATATAGCATGGTAGACAAAGTAGAAGTTGTTGATTAGAAGGTGTCTAGAACAAAGGAAAATAATGACAAAGAAAAGAAAGACACGGTTGGTTTTACGCTTGCCTTAATGGTGCCATCCAACGAGCAGGATAGCAGAAATGAGTCCCAACAAAGAAGATCCATTACAACATTCGTATGGCCCTCTAAAGTTTGTACGCACTGTACAGCTGCGATTTCCCACACCTGTCAATTACGACAAGAAACTTGAGAACCTTCTTCATATTACCAACCTAGGGGCATGTCTGTAAAGCCATATATACAATTCGCAATTCAAGACATGTACAAAGTAACGATCATGCTTGTCAAGTTGATAAAACTACTGTAAAACTCCTACAATCAATGGAGAGGCCTAGACACATGAAAGGGAAAAGGCACTCACTCTTATTGTATTGTCCATAGACCCAGAATAAAGGCGATTAGCAATCAACATCAGTGTGACCACAGGGCCTGTATGACCTGACATAGATGCCGCTGGCTCAAACTGGTTTGTAGTGGTACTGAACTTCCAGATCAGTATAGTGCCGTCCTGCTCACCGAAATGAAAAGCATACGAAGCATCAGTGTCCTTGTCAAGGCTTACTTATCAGCAAGTTTACTTATCAACTATGACTGACAATTTCAGCCTGGAGAAACGGCTTTGAATATCACTGCTAACTGCAATCTACATTCAACCATGAATACATACCGATCTCCCTTCGAAGATTCTGAAGATCCTTAGAAACTCATAAAGGCAGACGGCAAAGAGCATTCACGGCCCCTCGGTATGCACAAGGCTGAAACATTAGAAGCTATTCCTCTGAATTCAGGGGACAAACAAAAGCTTACCTGGGTGCCCGCGAAAAGGAGCCCGTCCTCAGTGACAGCAAGTGCATGCACTTGACCTTTGGGACCGCTTAGACTTGCCTGTTGTAAAGTCGCCATATTGATTACCTGCCAATCAGATTTGCGATTTCAGATAACATTCCACAAAATAGTCCCTTTGATGTTCCTCTCCAACCCTGTCAACCTAAAAGAAAACAGTTACGAACATTGCACACGATATCTTGCGATAATCAGATCGTATTAGGAATGTACACCAAACCCTATCCTCAGAGCAACCCTATCTACCCTAGAAAGATCCCCATCTAAAGGGCCGAAATTTGAGCATCACCTTAACCTCATTAGGTAATCCTACGAAAAGCCAACCAGCGGCGAAAATCAAAGCACCAACATCTCCTCCCATTGGAGCAACATTGGTGCATTGGCCAGTGGCACAATCCCACACACGCACGGACTCATCTTGACTGCCTGTGTAAAGTTGCGAATGCCCTTCCGGCAGCACAATAGCTCTAATCGCCTTTTCGTGGCCAACAAGCTGCGTCTTCATCTCCATGTCCGGTGCTGTCGTGTGCGCGTGCAGGAAATTGCAAGTCTCCCCCCTAGTGCAGTTACCCTTTAACCAATACGAACAAGGCTTCGGCTTGAGCGAATGCGACCTCCCACTCTCATAAGCCCTACTATCCCTCTGGTCGAGATTCCCTCTGCCCCCGCGGCCACCGCGACCACCTCTCCCCCATCTTGCAGACACGTTCCTCGGGCGCCCCTGGTTGCTCCCACTGCTAAACCCTCCTCCCCCATAGCCCCAGCCTCCGACATTATATTCTCTGTTCTCTCTCCCTTCTCTGTCACGAGCATCGTAAACGATGTTCGGCCTTTTGCCACTCCCTGTAGAGGTCCAACGTCCCGTAGAGCCTGCGCTCCCGGGATGCAGCCATTGGCATTCATCTCCTTTGATGCATCTACCTTCTTGCCAATACCGACACACCTGCTGCACATGCCCTCGCCCTCCTAATCCTCCTCCTCCTCCCGCGCCTGCAATGTTCCCCGAGCGCGAGTGATTTCTCTTACTGCCCACCTTCGTCGGCCCATCATCAACCTCCATCCCCGCCATCATCTTCCCCGCTCAATCCTCCACACTACAACATAACCCTTCCACCCAAACAACCCACCATTCGCTTCCCACAACACAATTCTCGAAAATCAACACTAATCTACTCCGCCCTTCCTCCCTCCCTCCCTCCCTCCCTCCCTCTCTCTTTCCCTGTTCGAAAAATCCAACACCAGTCAGGCTTCGCAAATTTATACGAAACCCTTTCTTTGACCCTGCCTTCGGCACCAATCCAGCGCAATTTCTGTCACACCTTCATCAAACGCGAATTGGGGCGTTGCTACGTTGCTGGATTGCAACGCCATCCACGTTCGGCGTTGGGAATTGTTTCGCGAGTGCGAGTTCGATCGGATTGGACCAACAATGGCGAATGGAGAGGACATGTCCTTTGTGAGCGCTAAAACCCTAATTGCGAATCATATTCCGGTGAAGTTCTCTATTCACACTCCCCGAACTTGGATTAAACTGGGATTAATATCATTCCTTTTCACACTATCGTCTCCCAGGTTCTTGGCTGGTTCGGTTAACCTGCTGTCTTGCTTTCCTTTCACAAATGCACAAACTCCTTCCTACTACATTTTTTATTTTTATTTTTAAACTTCATTAAGTAAAATTGCATATGTATATGTATGAAAATTATTATATTTTAAAGTATCATATATAATAATTTTTACTTATGACATATTACAATAATAAATCATGTATCATATTGTAATGATATATGATACTGGAACATAAATTTAAGTATCATATATAAATGCATTTATGTATTATCATTATTATAATTATTATTATAATATCTTGATTGAAGGTATTAATTTTAATTTTTTTATTAAGCTCTTAAGGTTAGACACAATTTAAATAGAAAACAAGACTTCAAGTTCTATATTATGTATATATAATATAAACTAATTACTTGAAGTTAACATATTGATTGTGTTTGATTGCAAATTACAATTGTGTTAGGTATAAGGTTTGCTGGGAATCTCTTTTGACATCCTTAACAAAATCCTGAATTTATATTATTCTATGTTTATATGCTCATTATATATATATATATATATATATATATATATTTATTAAGTACAATGTAAGAACTTGGCCATGGTATGCCTTGTGATAAAATTTACTAAGTGAATGGTACTTGCTCTATCTACCACAACATAAAGGAGGACAAGAAATAAAAAAATTATTATTTTTAAAACTTGAAAGTATGACATGTATATAACAACCAAAATATGTAATTCTCTTGTCAAAGAAAAGGGGAGTAAATTCTCCAAAATAACTTCAAAATATTTTTTTGGGTAGAAGGAACCATTGCCACAGGTCAGCATTTGAATCCAAATTTGGCATCCCTCTTCCGGATTTCAACGGTTACTTCAACAATGACTTGCAGAAATGCCCTAAAACTGATGCTTTGACGTTCATCCCTACTTGTGGGTTTCTGAATGAGAGGGGTCATCGAGGAAGATATTTGCTTGATAAGGTGCTTTGGATGCAGAAACAACCTCCATCCCGAGGTTTGATTCCTTCGATGTTTGTTCACCTCAGCTTCTGCACCTAGTCCCCACTTTTGAACTCGCCCGAGCGTGCAGAACAGGAGATCTGATCTTCTGCTAGATCGCCCATGTGTGTAAACGCTGCGGTTTCCATGAGGTTCAGGTTGCAACAAACTGTAGCCTACCGTCGACGAATTCCAGAAACAATCTTAAGGGTCCTCATATGCACGGAAGGTACCTAGGACCTGCGAAGGCTCAGGCGTACCAACTCAGCTGGACACCAAGTCGCATTCCAGGCACATTGTGGTGACAGGCAACACAAAGAAATGACGCATATGAATAGTCCCCTATGTTACAGAATCGGCGAATCGGAGGAACCCACACTAGAATTCGAAGGCATAACATCTCTTCACGCTGGGGAGTCACATTATGAGCAACGTCTCGAACCTTCTAGAAGATAGAATGGTAAAGGAGACATACTAACTACAAACGTTTTAGTTCCGCTTGCCACCAAATAATGACTCTATGTCCCGTCTATAACGTTATCCACTCGCATCCGCCACTTAATACTACATTGAATGCAAATTTCCCTCTCCTGAAATAAGTATACCTTAAACATACGTGGATTCCTGTTCTAAAATGATGTGAGGGATGAGCAATTATGATCTACGAAAAATACGTCTGCAACTAACCGTTTGTTGCCTCATAAAATTCATGAAGCCTTTTAGGTAGTAACCTCCTGATCTAAATTAGTAGCCAGTTCAGGTGCAGGCATGCGTTGATCATGCAGCAGAAGCTGCCCGGTTTTCTTCAATATCTCTCGCTAAATTAGTGGACAATTCAGGTGCAGGTGTCCGTTTACCGTGCAGCAGATAATGCCTGATTTCCTCCAATATCTGATGTCAAAAATATGTCAAGCTTCACAAAATGCGATATCAAGTGCACGAGAAAACCAGATTTGAAGTCTCAGTTGAACAAAGGTAACAAAAGTCATATATAACAATGGTTCCAACAATACTACCTCTGAAGTTCTTTTGAGTATCGAAAAAAGTTGGTAGTTGGTAATATTAACGAAGCAGCAAGAACATACAACAGGGAGTTGGGCAGGAGAGCTTCGAGAAAGATAATAAGCCGATCCCAAATGCAATTCAAAGATGTCTCCAAATATTTCTTACCTGAACTACAATTGCCTCTACTGTTGGCTCATGTTCTTCTGTCGATTGGAGGCTTTTCGCCAATTCTGCAGCAGATTCTCAAACTTAGGACAAAACTCAGAAATACAGATTCTGTGTGTACAAAATAGAATACAGAGAAGCTGATACCTGTTTCATATCACCTAATATGACACAGGTATCATTAAAATGAAAATTCAAAAGACTTACAAGTTGCATAGGGCACTGTAGACTACTATTCACAAAGTTCGACAAAACAGACGATGAACATGTAACACTCCAGACAGCAAATAAAGAGGCACTGACAAAGCGATGTTATACCTTCAAAGCATAACCTACAATGAGCCTTTGAGTACTGTGCCTTCCTTTCTTTCATCAAGGTTGACAATTTTAAGAGAACACTCTCAAAATCTGCACAACCGTCACCCAAGAGTGGACGCGACCCAGTCCCGACAGCAGTTACCCGTTTTGCCAAAACCTTTACTGGGACGTCCAACCAAACAGTAATGCCATTGCCCAAATATTCCCTACATATTCCAAAAAAAGCCAAACATCAGGACCAAACTACATGAAAAACTTGGTAGATATCATGTCTCCATAATTTAAGTAGTCTTACACTATGATATCCGTAGGACAAAGCTGTATGAATCAGGCTCCACTTGGTCAAATATTCAATTATTAACATTCTGGGATTAGGGTTTAAAGTTTAGAGTTGCTAATAAAGTTACAGTAAGGCAAACCTTTGCAAATGAAAGTTGAACACTTTTCAATAAAACCTACGACACCTCACCATGAAAGTAGAATAGATTTATTTTTTTATTTTTCAAAAGTAAAAAGAAAAATAGTAAAAATACCAGTTAGCGTCGTAAATTACAGCACCACCACCAGTGGCAACCACCAAGTCCTTCTTTTCACAGAGTTTCCGTAGAGCATCAGACTGCACGCGAGGAATTACAGCAACAACTCATTAGTCAGCACATTTCAGTCTTTTTTTTTTATGACCAAGACACTTTTCCCTTGATCTTTCAGGACAGCTGGCCCTTGAATCACAAATAATAAAAGACGTCCTCCACCAGTTTACCAACACAATGGATCACGGATCATACTTCTCAAACGAATTACACTTAAACATGTGTTGCAGATAAGCAAATTACAAGCCGAGAGCGTGATATTGTGAAGTTTGCACGAATAATCCATGCGTCAACCAACTCATATAAAAATACTCACATAAGAGTTCGAATAAGATATACCTCAGTCTTCCTGAATTGAGTCTCGCCCTTCAGGCGAAAGATTTCCTTTACAGCAAGACCACCTTCAATCTTTTCGATCTCGTCGTCACTGCACCGCAGCAAGAACCAACATAATTTATCAGACAAACATGAAGTTCCATATAGACCGTTTCCTAATTCTTTCACCAGCCTATTTGTTACTGAGACAGATACGCGTTTTAAAGCGGCCTTACTATAGAAAACAAAGTTTGTCTAGCTGTCTAACAAGAACTGCATCGATGAAAGTAACATACGAAACTCACTTGATATCCTATACGAGCAGATTAACTTATCGTTTCAAGAGAGTAATGACAATTGCTTGACACGCTATTCGATAATTAAAGATGTATCCTCAACAACTAAAATGACAATTCCATATACCTGTCACGATACTTGTAGCCAAGGGCATCAGCCAGAATCTTCCCAACGGTCGACTTTCCACAACCCATCATCCCAACCAGGAAGATATTCTTATTATTATTCAACCGAGCCACTTCCTGACCCAAATCTGTTAAACGCGCCTCGAATTCTGACAAGGATACAGAACCTGCACGAGAAGGTTCGTTCATATGAAGACCATGCAAATATGAAAGTGGACAATATCCTCAGAGGAAAAAGGCAAAAGTAGATTAATTTACCAGGAGTTTCTTTCTCCAAGTTGTAGACTTTGAACGCAGCCTGCAATTTAACAGCACAATCTCATTAACAAGTTTAATAATCGTAATTATCTAATCTGTAGATCAGACAGAGTCTTTAAGGACTCGTACTTGTAGATCTATACGCTCAGCGAATTTCCACTGGGAAGAAGGATTTACAAACTGAAGAAGTAAATCTTGCAGGATTCAAAAAAAAACCCCAAGTCTAGTTTAACCATTAGCGATGTGCTGTCACACATTGTACAACTATTCTGACGAACGCTGGAGTATATAACAAAAACATAAGTAATTAATTAGGTGAATTCAGCACTAAGCTGCACTGAGTGACAACATACACGAGTTCAATACTTCTGATGTGAGATCCTCCCATGATTCAAGCTTGATTGTGTACAGATTAGCATTGTGCAAATGTTGCGACATAATCTTTAAGGTGATTTCGCTAATGAAAATTGCATTGGCACTGACGAACTTGTTTACCTGTTTCAGAACCTAAAAGATTCAACATGATTGAGTTCTGTGCACATTCAACATCTCTTATGCGTTACCTCTACACTCTAAATTTGAGACCGAGTTGATCATGTATCCCAAGGCAAATGCGATTCAGTAATTCAATTTCCCGCTCCCACTATAAAACGGCAACTGAGTATGTACGTTCGTGATCAAATACAATGTAGCGTGCACTGTTTCACTCGATTCAGGTGAAGATCCTATCCTAGACAAGACAGTCGATGGGCATTCCTACCTATATGTTAGTATCCCGGTACAACTTATCCTCTACAATGCTTACAACAGAGTATCAAGGCAAAACACTACCGTCTCCTCAAATCTTCTAAGACATGTCCAACGAGGAGGCGAAATCACATTACCGACTCGACAGGTTCATTTTCAAACAAATATATCCTTCCATACACCATTCATGGTAGCGCGCATTACCCAGCCTGTCTTAGGTTGATCCGAAATTTGCAGTGAAAGCGGGCGCCCGCTGCTAGACTTTAAAGATACACCTGGAAAAATCTGCTTTCCTCTTCGAACAGATTTCCATGATAGCATCGACGTATCTTTCAGCGCATGATTGGAATTCGAGACACCGTAAGACGTCCTGGGTAACGTAACACTGTGCCCGACTTGCATTGCCATTTCTGCCTACACTCAATGTGTCTCCCACAGCCGCTTGCCTCCAAATCTTCCCACCACTCCCTCCACTATATCCCTAAAGTCTACACAAACACAAATACGAACACCAAATCCTCTGCCATGCCAATCTCTGGTAATCTTTCCCAATCCTCCGCTTCGCGATTATCACTCCCACCTTCAAACAACCCAAAATTCTCCAATAACCAAACCAGTCTCAACGGTGTCCTTCCCTGAACTCAATCCCCCACGAAATTCCAGTGAGACGCCACAAGCCCCAACCTCCCGCAGCAGCTCCTCGCTCAATTTCGGCGAATGCTCTACGACCCAAAACCCAGAGCAGGGCCACGAGGAGTCAAAAAAGGAAAGCAAGTTATGTGAGGGAAAGATACGCGTTGAAAAACATGAAAAAGAGGCTCAGCAGAGGGACTCGTGGTGGGTTTTGTCAGCGAGGGGACGTAAAGATGAGCCGCGAAAGGCTGAAACTATTTCCCGGGAAAGAAACTTTCAGGAATGCTTGATAGGGGTGATTTCATTTCTGGGGACTCCCTGCTCTTGTGTTGCCATTTCGCCATGGTCCTCGTTGGAGAGCTGGGCGACTTAGATGAGACAACGGTTGCTGGTCAAATGACCTCCAAGAAGGACACGGTGACTTGGTCCTTGAAGTGCTGCCGTGCGTGACTCTTGTGCACGGCTGAGGCGTGGTTGGCACTTTTAGCGGTTGGATCTCCAAAATTGAAAGTTCGCCCATTGAAGACTCTGAAACTGCAGTTGGATGGAGACATCATGCTTCCAGTTTTGGCCTCCAATTTGCGAAAAGAAAAGTACAATGAAGGCATGTAAGATGGTTTCTTCGGGCCCAGAAGATGGGGACGTGTTCATAGTTTAAACAAGGTTTTTGTCAGTAGCTCGAATCGTATATGGTACAGTAAAATCCTTCATTAACTGTGTTCAACTAAATGCTTCCCTAGCGGGACCTTTTTTTTCACTCTTTTTGAAGTAATACATTCAACTCACAAATATTCTCGCTACAATTCTTTGAGTTGCACAATCAATTTCCACTAGTAACAGTCATCCACCATATTATGATCACAATAATTATTTCTTCACTTAAAGTTACTGCAAAAAGTTTCAGCGGTGCAGTTGATTTTTGCATCGATGTTAGTGACCTTTAGTAGTTGATCACCGTGAAAGATACTTCTTACAAGAAGTCAATATGGAGGCGCAGGCTTTACAAGAGAAGTATTTTTTTGTTGACTTCCGGAAATGTAAATGAAATTCAAAATCTAAGACGGGGTTGAGAGAAAGCAAATAGGAAGGAGGTCTCCATCTGCAGGAGAAAACGCGTGCTATGAACTGCAGAACATGTTCACGTGGAAGCGGAGGCATGAACCTAGAATTCCACAATCTAATGCGGCTCACTCTCGAAATCACATTTCTTGGCCTTGCGTTCTTCAAGGAAAACAAGAATAGAGAATAACACAAATTCTTACCAGTCGAGATTTGCTTCGTGGACAAACAATGGATCGGCATTAGAGCCGTAAATCAAGATCTGGGAGCCGACTGATTCCGGTGACCTTTGCTCTGGGAGCAGCAAGACTTACGGCAGATGGAGCGCGGACATTGAAGCGGAAAGTGGGGACAAAGTACGAATTGACCACAAACAATCGAAAGGTAAGGATTTTTTGGGAAGTGGAAGAAGGCTGCTATGAAATGAATCCATCTGCAGAATAACAATGAGCGCACAAACAGAACCAATAAAATCAATCTGTGAACACAAGCCCAGGTACTCATCAGGAGTAAGACATGTAGTTTCATACTTCATCGCATGACATCGATCTCAACCACCAATTTCTTTAACTTCTAACGACTCACATGGGCACGATCTCTTTCAAAAATTCAATTTATACTTGTTGCGAGGATAAGGTTTTCTTCCATGCCGCCCTTGAAGCCCTAAGCCGGAAATCCACAAAAATCTGCTCTCAACTGCCCCTTCAATCTTTCCCGACAAATCACATCCATTCCACTACTATCCTAAGAAAAGGAAGAATCCACATGTCATGCCAAGAGTGGTATCATGGTGCCACAGAAGCATTTCAAATTGCAATCCTAATTTACGCGAAGGGGCATTTTCAATTCAAGTGACCAAATTACCTTGATTTTGGAGAACCCTAAGTTTCGGTTCTGAACGTCGTCGCATGTAATGCAGTCCAAAAGTATTTACATTCTCAATTTCCTGTTATCCAGCCTTCCACAGTTAGAGCCTATAGTCACGATTGTTGAATGAGCCAATTTAGCTCCATGGATACTTTTCAGAGGCTGTGCGGATCAGTGGAGAACAAACAAAAAATCAGCGATTGGTGCAAGTTTTGAGAAAAAACTTGTTTTCTCGTGTGCCACCCCCGCAGCTTTTGTTCCAAAAACTCCTTGCATGTCCAGCAATTAGGACGAAGAACTTGTGATCCCTTCAAAACTTGCTCCAAGACCAACAAACTTGTCCGCACATCTGATATAATTCATAGCGGATTTACAAAGCACACTGTACCTCTTCAGTGAACAATACAAACTGTCACCGTAAGTTCGTCTGCTGTGTTCAACACTTCCACCAAAAATCACCATTCTCAAGCTTCAATTCATCGAAGACAGCTCAAATTCAAAACTGTTTTTCGGATGCATTGTTCACCCTTCAGTAACAAAGAGCTAGTCTGATAAAGTTTGGTTGCAAGCCCTGTCAAAATACCTTCACCAGACTTGCAATATGGATGCAATTCAGCACTGAGGAAGGGGCATCGCTCCAGATATGACTGCAAAGCGGGTAAACACAACAATCTGATACAAGACTTGAACTACATGTCGCTGAATAGAAAGCGTTTATATATCATATCTCGGTAAACTTGCACAAGAGCAATTTGTTTTCACTTTTTCCTGGGATTATTTCATCCTGCTGAGGGATTTGGCTTTATCGCTAAGGTTGACGTACCAAATCCCTCTGGAGAATTCTGTTTGGGAAAAGTACGGGTCTCAACAACTGAGAAGTATTCCTTACAATGCCTACTAGTGGTTTGTAGGAAAAGAGCATTTTGTATAAAAAAAGATCATCCATCTTTGTTTAGTAAATCATGAACAATATAAAGGGGTCTTTGTACTTAGAAGTCCACAAAAACTTCACCAAGTTTTCTTGTTTGGTGAAAAAGAGTTTTTTTTTTTTTTTTTTTTTTTTTTTTTTTTTATAAATAAATTTTGGCTACAAGATATAATATAAAGTCAAAAGAGACCATGAAATGAAATAAATTATTTTTTATTATAAGTTTTAGTATGTAACTTTATATATTGATATTAGTAATTATAAAAAAAATAAGAACTTTGATTTCTTATTTTTTGATGTTGTTTTCATGAAATAAAATAAAATAAAATAAAACATTTTTTAATACAACTTTTCAAATTTTTCTAAAACTACATCTTGACATGAATCTAACAAAAATTCTAAGAGACAATACTATTTGTGCCATATAGAAAAATAATACATTCTACTTCATACATACATACTTGGCAAAAATAAGGCTAGTTATACTTCTTTTACTTGCATACTATATTATTAATGTAGCTCTATTTATGAAGATATATCTCAATTATTACTAATTTGATCATAAAGTCTTATAATAACAATAAAATAACTTCTATAAACTTGTTAGTGTCTTTTAGATGTCTCTTTATATTGAGAGAAAAATCCACTTTTTGATAGAATTTTGTTAAAAGATAGTGTCAAATACCTCATATGTTAATGCATTAAACAAAGAGTCTAGATGATTAGTGTAGCAAAACCTTTTAATCTTCTATATAATAATCATTTTAAACTAGCTAAAATTAAATTAAAATTAGAATAAAAAATGAAATTAATACATAATAATTAATAGATATTACAATTCTTTGATTACCTTCTAAAATATGACCATCTTTTAATTCAAGTATCTTCTTTTGAAGCATGTTTTTCAATCTCCATAATGATTATCTTTATTATTATATTTTTTGTTCTTACTATAGTCTATTGTGAGTAAAGATAATTATATAATATAAACAATTAAAATTATACTTGATATTTTTTTTATTTTTTTATTGATAATAGCATATCTTTAGATATTACAATATCATATAAAGACACAATTGTTGGACTCTATCAATATGATATACTAGGGCAATTTAGTTCTATATATATATATATATATATATATATATATATATATAGTATGATCTTCCATCTCAACTACTATCTAAATATTATATTTGGAAGTAATTAGCAAAATCAATTATTATTTGTATATTTTATAATTAAAATAAGAAGATATTTAGAGAAACTTATTTACTAAAATAATATTCTATAACCATCTACAATAATTGTAAAAGTCAAATTCTTCTAATATTTTTATTGATACTTATATTCTCTAAAATATTTCTAAATATTTTTTACAACACATTATGCTATATTATTGATTCTTAGATACTAATAAGATGTGGTTCTATAATGAATATATAGTTATTTTTATAAGATCTACAATTCTTTTAAAAAAATTCTACCTTGATTTATTAAAATCTAATTTATTATACCAAATTAATTTAATAAAATAATTAAAATATATTGTTTATTCATTAAAATTATTTAATAATATAAAAATTAAATTTTCTTAAAAAATGTTTAATCATCACTTATATATATTAGTATATAGCATAATAAGTATACCAATATATACTTATTATGCTTTATACTAATATATTGCAAAATCTAATTCTATTATTATTTCAAACTTAAATTAAATAATAATCTTAAAAATACGTATATAAATGTCTTTAAAAAATAATATTCTATAATTTTTAAATTTTAATTAAAATAATTATCTAATTTTATATGATAATATATATTAATATTAATTTATGCTAAATTAAAAAATATTATTTAAAAAAAATATTATTTCAAAAAATTATTATTTTAAAAAAGTATTATTTTAAAAAATATTATTTAAAAAAAATATTATTTCAAAAAACCATTATTTTAAAAAAAATATTATTTTTAAAAAGTATTATTTTAAAAAGTATTATTTTAAAAAAGTATTATTTTAAAAAGTATTATTTTAAAAAAGTATTATTTTTAAAAAGTATTATTTTTAAAAAGTATTATTTTTAAAAAGTATTATTTTTAAAAAGTATTATTTTAAAAAAATATTATTTTGAAAAATTATTATTTTGAAAAAGTATTATTTTGAAAAAATATTATTTTTCGAAATTATTATTTAAAAAAAATATTATTTTGAAAAAGTATTATTTTAAAAAAATATTATTTTGAAAAAGTATTATTTTTTAAAAATATTATTTTGAAAAAGTATTATTTTTTAAAAATATTATTTTTTAAAAATATTATTTTGAAAAAGTATTATTTTTTAAAAATATTATTTTGAAAAAGTATTATTTTTTAAAAATATTATTATTAAAAAGTATTATTTTTAAAAATTAATATTCTAAAAAAATATTATTATTAAAAAGTATTATTTTTAAAAAATATTATTTAAAAAAATTATTTTCTTTTAAATGTGCTACATTTTTTTTTATATTAATATAGTCTTGGCATAAAAATATCTTTTAAACTTCAATTTTATGAAATTTTTAAATTTAAATTTTATGATTATTAATATTTTATTATACTTGGTTTGTTGTTAAATCATGTATGTCTCTATTTGTCAAGGACAAGAATCCAATAAAAGCAAATAACTAATTGAGACTTTTTTCAAAGAAATATGACAAATTAGAAGTAAAGAAACATGCATATTAGAAAGAAATTAGAATGGCTATTGCCAAAAGATAAGAAAATTAAAGACTCTTGAATTTAGACTAGAGTAAGAAAAGAGTTGACAAAAATGAAGAAGGCTTCACTTTTGCACCTATATATACTATCTACCTAGGAGCTACGTGGCAACATTTTATAAGACCTCCAATATGTGTTCACTTTGCAAGCCACATATCTTAACTCACAAGGCAAGTTCTTTATGTGTGCACCATATAGTTAGCTTGTTCCACAAGCTATCTACACATATGACATGTGATTAACTTGTTGACCAAGTTTTTAATCCAAAAGTCAATTATAAACACATGTAAAGTCAAAACTATGGTTATGAAGCTTCTAAAAAGATTCTTTAGAAGGTATTATAAAATTAATCTTTTTTTATCTATTTTTACCTACTTCTATCTAATCGTATAGATAATTATTAGAGTAAGTATGTATGTCTATGACATTACTCTTCGTTTTAGAAATAAGTTCCATAAGGCACCATTATTACATGTTTTAAACACAATTTGTCGCATGTTTGTTCTCTTTAAAGATGGTTGACAAGTGCTCTCAGCCATCAATAATGTCTTATATTAGGGTAGGAATACCACCCTGTTATTTGATCGTTGTTGAGGCCTTCATAACTTCCTTCAAAGAAAATATTTGGAACATCATGAAGAGTTATCCTATTTTTAATAAAATCACCAAACATTGGAAGTTTCTTCCAAGGTCATGATACCAAACATGTTGTATCTCACCATCTATTTGAGGAAGAACATGTTGTTCTTGAGAATCTTCATTTCAATTACGTCATCTTAAAGGTTAAGACAATCGCAATGTTTCATTTGACAAGTCAACATATGATAGCTCTTGAGTTGAATTTGCTGATTGTTAGTTTTCCATCTTTTAAGTGCTACAATATATACAAAAGCTGTAAACAAGGATAGAAGATAGAATATTATCTTTTCTTGATCTTTTGTCTTTTATAAAAAAGATTTGCTACTCCTTATATAAATTTTGATGGATGTTGTTGATAAAAAACATTCATCTTCTTTTTTATATTTACAAGAT